TGAGAGCTTTGGCGTTACCGCCAAGCAGCACTGCGTGAAAGATGATTCTCATTGGTCCGCTCTCATTGTCACTCCGTGTACACACTAAGCGGGTAATTTGAATTTGTTATATGCATTTTAATTGTTTGAATTTCATAGGGTGGGAACTGTTAGCTCCGGATAAATTTATTTGAGTAATATAGAAATTTTATTAATATTGCCCAATAAAATTATAACGTTGACGCATTTAAAAAGAAAAGTTCATATAAACTCTTGTACTTGTACGTGCCCTTACTTTTCTGCTGCGGGCACGCAAAATTTATACTCAACCAATTTGGAATATACCGTAGATATACATTCATGTATATTACCGGAATATTTGTTTTGAACATACTAGGTATATTCACCTGCACATATACACAATATGTACATACCTAGGATATACTTTTTATGAACTTTGATGAATATACATGCATGTATACTCCACGAACATTCATGTCAGGAATGTTCACCTATGTATATTCCCAGGATATTCCCGCAATGTTCCGTATATTTTTTGAACATTCTGGGATATTCATAGAATATCAAATGCTATCTGGGTTGATCTTAATATGTACATGTTATATTATGCATATTGTAATACTTTTGTATGCAGGGCGACCATGGAAATCCTGGAGAAAATACGAAGAGCACACGGTATATGATTCCAGATTCGATGAAAACAAAAAAACGTTCAAGCCATTGCTCTCAATTAATAGCCGCTATTCGCTGAACAGCAAAGGCAGCAACGTGCATTCTAGTGACATCTCATGTTTAGGTTCACTGAAATGGGCTTTTAACGAACTGAAGTTGCTGAAAATCGAGCTAAGGCCTTTCATAGACAACCGAAAGAAAGTGCATCGAGAAGTAAGACCCGGTAAGTACCAAGTCCTACCACAGGTGCTAATTAGTTGCAATTCCAGGTGAAAATGGAGCTACATCTTGGCGCTATTCATTCGAATGCTCGATTACGACAATACTACACTCCTAGCAGCTTCCAAGTGCCGCTGGTAAAGCTGCTTAAAGAACCCGCACAAGTCTTTGTTAATAGGCGAACCTACAACGTGAAGACTACGCAAGTGGTTCCTCAGATGATATTTTCGCATCGCACGTCGCCACCTCAGCTACTAGAAAAGCCTCATTTGCCCCCTTATATTTGGGGTGATTGGGTTTCTAGCAGGTGCGAGACCCGCCCTGGAGGAAACTTGCACCTCACCAGGAAGTTTTCTTTCAATTCGGACGACTCATCTTGGATAGGAGAACATCATTTCCATTCCGATCCACTTTGCAAAGTTGCAAAGTTTACTGCCACAGCATCTGGCAATTTTAATCTTCAGACCGTTAATAAAGACCATCGAGGATTCAGTGAAATAGATTTCCAAATTGAAAGAACCATGTTAACTGTGTTCGAGCAACAGATGATGGATTTTATTGATGGAACGGCCCACTGTGGAGTGGGCGAATGGAAAATTAATGTATCGAAAGAACTTTCGCTTACTGGGGGCTGCAATCAACTAGGCATTGTTTTGCCGTCCGTCCAGCTGGACGTGGTCAAAGTAGAAATGGACTACAGCGGTTCGTGCTTAATGTTCTTGGGACAAGTGGAGACAGACTTTAGCATGGATTCAAACGGAAATAGTGAAAGACCGACAGCTTTCCAGCTGCCACTGTCCAGATGCGGCGGCGGATCGACATATTCGCCAGAGTTGTGGGACATTTTAAACGACCAAATGTATGCTTATAACGTTGGACAGGCGACGAATCTTATTGTAAAATGGTACTTTTGGGTATCAAGTGGTGTGCTTTTTATACATTTTAAGTTTGTTTTATAGAAAGAAGAATTATCATATTAATTCTAAGTAAGTAAGTTCTACCTATTTAGGAGATGTAGGTGTCTGTGATAGTTAAATATTAATTGTTTGTATAATTTCCCTACATTACTAAAGATGTTAATGATTATTGGCGGTTTGATGGTGTATCTATAAGAGTAGTTTTGACCCAGAAAGCGAAATTTGAATATCAGACACTTCGGTGCAAGATTGTGCCAAAATTCCATGTTTCCGTCCCGTTTTTGCTCATTTCTCGGAGGCAAAATGAGCAAGAACGCTCATTTGTACATCATTCTAGAGAGAAATAAATG